AAAAAAAAAAAAAGAAAAGAAAAAAGAGAAACATAATATAATGTGAAGAACATAAAAGTTCACCTTCGTGTCACAAGCCACAATGCCTGTCTGGCTTGCGGAGTGGAACAGATTCACCTAGGAAGCCAGGGGAAACCTCTCATCTGGAGTTCACAGGCACACAGGCCCTCTGTGCTCCTCCATCTCAGAGGCTGAGGTTTTCCTTGTGCAATTCATTGCAGCAGTCCCTTCTGATCTCAAACTCTCCATGGATGCTCATCATTCTAACAGGGAGGCCTAGGGGATACTCTGAGTTAGGGAGAAGAGAAAAGCCTATTCTGTAGGGAGCACAGCTGATACAAAACATCTTGAAGCACTAGGTTTTGCCTGCTTGGCTATTGCTCTGTGCATTCTCCAAATGGTTCACACATGCACACATTTGCTGCTTGCTTGTCTGCTGAAGCCACCAAAGCAGCTGAACCAGTGGCTGTACTCAGAGCCTGAAACCTCACCACAGCCCTCCCTGGAGGTTGCCCTACTGCAGGCAGCAGGACAGCAGTGCTTTCCCCAGGAACTACACTACCTTTGTCCAGAGCTGGCAACAGAGCACAGTTATCTTTAAGACCTTGGGCTTCAAATTACCTCTACTACAAGGCTGGTCACCACATCTCCCTAGATAAGGCTTTATTCTAATGCCTTTAGACTTGTGGGAAGGATCTCTAGAGAGGGCCACACACTTCATTTCTCTATTAACGAAAAGACTCTTCTTTGGACAGTTAGCTGGCTTTGATCCATGGCAAAGGATCTTGCTCAGTGGGCATGCAGACTTGGGCTATTGGCCATGCAGAGTGAAAGAGAAACTATGAATGCAGCAGGAAATCTGGCAGCACAACTGAATGGAATCTCAAGGCTCTCACCCTACTGAAGGGAGGTAAGTGCAATTGTTACATCATTTTAAATAAAAGGTACTGTCAGAAAAAGAAGGCATTAGTATTCTTTCTATAATCATCATTGGAATGAGAATTGGGAACCTAAAGATAGAGATACTTTAGTTGTTCATAATTGTTGTTTTATAATACTGTATAAAGGCTTTTAAAATCATAAAGCTAGAGTGCTTCTTGTAATAAATTTGCAAAGTAGAGAAAGGTATATAAAATATTTTAATAGTACTTAGATCTGCCTTGTTATACAGTTAGTCATATACATTTCTATCTCCTCTTTATATGTGCTTAGGGGAAGAAATCGTAGCATTTTTTCATCTTTGTGTAACTCCTAACACCAGTGAGTAGCTAGAGTTTGTGCCACTCGGGGCGGTCCTTCAATATGCGCCCAAAAACTGTGCAACCCAGGGCGAATCCCCCCCCACCCCCCAGCTATGCCACTGCCTAACACCCAGGACAAACACTGAATTAAGAAAGTTGTTGTTCTCACTGGCTGTGTGTATCAGTTTCCAAAACTGAAACAAAATCAGAAAGATATTTGTGCCCAAAATAATGTGCAACAAAACAGCCTATAATAAACCCTACTAATTAATTCCCAGGTGGAATGGAACATTAAAAAATGAACTTTAAAGTTGGACAGATGTGGCCTGAAACTGCTTAGTAGCAGTATGTCCACCGGTAATTTAAGAGGTTCCGAGCCTCAGGTTCAACAGGGGCTTTTTTTCCTATTACCCTTACCCTGGACCCAAGTTGATGGAGTGATCGACATCTAAAGTGTTGCTAAAAGAGATGCCCTGATAGGGGTGACTAAATGTCCAGTCTGTCTGAAACTGTCTCAGTTTTAGCCTGAAAACCCCGTGCTGTGATCTGAGGTAAACCTGGGTGGTGTGTCACCTAGCAGAAAAGTTGGACATACCCC